AACGCATTTCCACTTGGCCATGTATAAACTCCAGAAATTTCGAAACCAAACTGCCATGCGCCCGAGTACTCCCCCATCCCCTTGGGACCAGTGCAAACTCCGTGTCCATGAGCTTTTCCATCCTCCCATCCTCCGCTGTACGTGCCCCCATCATCAAAATCGAAACGGCCTCCTCCAGTTGTCATTTAGATGCTACCCACATGGAGGGAGGGTGTAAAACTCCAAGCTAGATATGTATTTTCACAGAAACAAATAACATTATCCACATAAATCCGCCAAGAAAATAATTCACCGGCATTCTCTATCCAAAATGGCTGACATAATCCTATGAGACTCGTCAGAAACAGAAATCAATGAAATGGTGTAAATTAAGGTTAATTAAGAAAAAGTCAGGTGAATAATAATTGTTCAACAATTTCATCCTAACATTGATTCATGGCTATGTGGTTGGAGCTTAAATCCAGAAAGCAGACTGATTGTCGTATCGTCAAATCACATTGTTACATAAGAAATACGTCAGATGTAATATTTTTTTTTATAAACACTCACTTGAATCTGTATCTCTTTCAAGAAAAGATGGCGTAGTGAATCTCGACAAATTACTTATGCCATGTTATTTTTCAATCAAAGTCGTAGCGCAGGCGTAGCCATTTTTGAAGCCTTCATTATTTTGTTATCGAAAATTGTTATGAATTAAGTATATTCAGTAATGAAAAGATACTATAAGATGATTCGAAATTATCATCGACAGGGTGAATAAATTATGCGAAAATGTCGGACATAACACAGTATCTGACTCCTCGGGTCGGGTCTCCATATATGGCCGCACGTTACTATTGGCCAAGCGTCTGGTAATATAGCTGCCTCCTGAAACGCCACATGTTCTCGCAGATAAGATACTTGCATCAACACTTTAACGAAGGCAATTTTCGTTTTTCCAGTAATTCCAAGATTTACACAGTGACAAATAAATAATTAATGTACACATGAACGATCGGTTTGATCGATCTCAGGTATACATAGACAATACGCAGGTTGTGTCTATTGATTTTGCTCATGAAGTAAGAAGAGCTGCTTGAAAAGTTTGGGACATATGCAGATGATTGTTTTTCTATTGATCTCGCGATAATTTAACGAGATCACTTGATTAAGATCAACAGCTCTCCAATAAAATACTTAAATATTGCTCATTATGTATACAAAAATTTAGCTTATTGATTCAGCGTTTGTTTGCTATAACTGGTCGATCCATGTTCATTTTTTCTTTCTTTCGTTTTTCTTTCATTTATTTTAATTTTTATTAAGAGTATGTGATTATCTCATAAGATAAAAAAGTTTTAAAACATGATATAAAGCGCTAGTGATTTTAAAGATTAAGATTTTAACAAATTTAGCCAAAATGTATTAAACGACATTAAAAAGATAAAAAGAACAAAATCAGAATATTAAGTGAAACTAAACAATAGCGATAAAAATTGTTGTCCAATAATTGGGTATTTTCTAAGAAAAAATAAATAATAAGCAACGTCCAGTGGCAAACATTACATGCATTTACAGGACGAATACACGACGAATGTATACGTAAATTTTTTTGCTTTAACTCTAAAATGCCGTGCAAACATTAATTGTTAAATGCATGTATACAAGTATATAACTATTTAACTGAAAGAGAGCATTGGTTTAACGAGAAAATACAAAAGACAAAAATTGATCAAACTGTCCAAAAAGAGTAAACAGTGAAGATTTTCAAGAACACAAGTTTTTTCTTAAACCCCGAAGTACGAGTGCCTGTAATAAAGTTTTTTTTCTAGCCATGGTATCATCTGGATGAACGAATTCTTTCTAAATGTACAACTCTCTCGGAATTCGTGACACGCTTACCAGAGGATCTGGATGGGGTTTACAGCATAGGGAATAATGGGCAAAAAGTGCAGAATTAAAGTGCAACAAAATTTAAAAAACAGAGAAAAATGGAAAGCTAAAATGTAAAAAAATAGAATAATGGTCAAAATGAATAAAGAATAGAGACAAATGGTCTAAAACTTAAAGAATAAAGAAATGAAGGACCCCTATACAGACCCTCCTACCTTGCGATATATTTGTAGTTGAGCGGTGAACTCGTTTGCATTTTTGATCTAAAATATTGTTAAAATTTTCATGACAACATACATTCATATATATATCTTAACCTGCTTTTTTACAAGTCAATATGTCTAACATGTGGAAATGTTTGCCTTTCTCGTGCCATTGTTTGCGCATCAATTCGTTCTTTATTTAATCAAGTACGTTGATTTGTTCTGTAATAACACCTTAGTAATTCATATTTATATAGGCCAAGTACAGCAAACAGATATGTGGAATAAATTCAATCTTCACAAATGTGCATACCGTAAACGATGTCGCTATATTTAAGGTTCATCATAAGCGGCTATGTTTACACAAAAATAATTTATTTTAAGTACAGACAAACCTGTGCAACTGAAAGCGTTTTTAAGGCCGGGAAGGACATTTAATTATAGGTATATAGAATATAAATGCATTTTGCGTTTCAGAAATGAAAAAAAAAACCTATTCTAGATTTTGATGTGCTTTTTGCGTTGCTACAGAAGGTGTAAAAATAAAACAAGTCCGGTAAATTTTTTGAGATGTTCCCCTCAGGTCATTGAATTGCATTGTATTGATTAATATGGACAATAGAGGGACAATATATAGGCGGCCCCTCCAGGGGGAGGGGGCGGCCCCTCCCCCTTGCCCGGCCCCCTTTTGAGGGAAAAATTTGGTTGATTATATAGGGAATCACTGAAGCATGACTGGAGCAGGGCCCCCCTTAGGTCAGTCAGTGGGCCCCCCTTATAAAAAGTTCTGGATCCGCCACTGCAATAGATACGATATCTGCATTGAATAGTGCTACTGAGTGGACATAATCAAACAAAATTCAAGTTTTGAACGTGTTGGCTTATTTTACCATCTTAATCGATGCCAAAAAAAAATCTCAAAATTTTATTAAACACAAATGCATTTAACTTTTACATATTTGGGTCTTACAAGGACTTAATACGTTTCCAGCTTTACAGGTTTGTCAGCTCTCTGAATACATTTCGTGGTGTAAACACAGCCATGTTTGCCAAATGGTTATGATGAACCTTAAGTGCACATGTAAATCAATTACTGATACGCATCTAATAGGATTAGTGTGTCGAGATATGCTTTGTGTATCATCATCGTGCACCGGGTTTTATTAATGGGTACTCATTGTGCTGTTCAATACACTTTGTTACATATACATTGATATGCATTTGCTAAATATTTATAATATACATGATGTCAGATAAAACTTTTCCCTTCTGCCTGTTTTGAGATATAAGCATTTAAAAATATGGCGGGAAACAGCTAGAAGTTTTTATGATTTTTAATAGATCTTTTCGCTGTATAAATCGTTTAAAATTAAAATAACAATGCTACGAGTTTAACTTTTCTTTAAAGGTATGGAGTGCTTCGCAGTATCATAAATAAACGTCAGCCTAATGTATTTGAGTTTTTTGTTTTTATTTTTAGAGAAAACGACAATTTTTAGCCTTTTTTCCAGAAGTATTTATTATTTTTTTCATATTTTCGGATACCGTTTTATTGGAATTTTAGAGTCATTATTATTATTAATATGATACAAAATGGGACCTCACAGGAATAAGCTCCGATCAGAGGGTCACGAATTAATAAGGGACTTTGAAAAGAAAATATACATAAAATAGTTAAAAACTAACAATATTTTTTCTGTCATGTACAATTAAATGGACACTCTCGACTTCATCATCACCTTAATAACACAGCGAGAGTAACCCATGCATTTAAGATTTAAAATAATAAAGTTCCGAGGGTAACACATATAACGTTGACGTTATATACTGGCGTGTTGGTTGTTTTGTTAACCTATCTTTTTAAGCGCTTATCCAACAGTAGGTGTGATTCTATAGCAACATATTCATCGATAGGGTCTTGCATACCCGTACTGTCAGACCATCCGTAAAAATACAATATCTTCTCCCCTTCCTTACGTATTCCACAATTTAAAACCCATTCAAGTCAAAAGAAGCCACATCAATAAGCAACCAATCAGAACAGGCTGTTGTTTGGTAATAATATGTCAAATTAAACTATTAACGAAGCAATAACCGAATTGTACAGGGACAAGTTTAGACTAAGTGTTTTTAAAGAAATTATTAAAAGAAAAATGGGGGTGATATTTTCTATTACTATTAAATGAAAAAGGTCAAAAGATCTAGAAAAAAGAGAGACTGGGATCCTAGCTCACTGTTCGACGAGAAGCAGAGATTTAGCCAGGATTTCAAATAAATAGATGGCAAACATGACAAGCGAACATCCTAAATATAAACATTTCCGTTTTTGTAATCACGCGGGACGCGGTTGTTTTGTCTTCTGTGTTTATTTAAACATTTGGTACACGTGACTGAAATGATATACACTTTATACCTGATGATACGCCTTGAAAGTCTGGATTTATAGCATAGTCAACTTGATTGTGGTTTTCCGTTGGTCCAATCCCTGTATGATCAAAACCTATATTTACTTCAATCTGCGTCATTTAGTCTCTTGTATATATATAGTTGTCTCAATCGCAAGCATACCACATCTTCTTATTTTTAAACTGTGTAATAAACTAGTAGTTCGTTTGTTTATTCTGTATCCTGCCAGCATTTTGGAATTAGAACAAACAATATAGTTGCATCGATCGCGAGTCAGAATAATACTGATATCGATGAATCGTTTGGAAGCCATTGGAAGTCGCAAATTCTTATCTATAGCCTTAGACCCTGGCCCAATATCTCCTTCATGGCGGTAGTAAGCAGTGGTCTAGGATCCGTGGACATTTTCAATTGATTTTATTTGGTAAAGCGAAATCATTTTTTGCGCAAAAATATTGAAAATTACTACAAGCAAAATCAAATGCTTAATGTATAACTAAGGAAACTATAACTCAAAAGCTGAATATTTAATATTATTTTATTTGTTTAGAGATACAAAATAGAAAGCCCACAAGGTATTTCAACTGATGAAATCCTCTCCCTTATTCGCAAAATATGGATGGTAATTATTTCTTTAGTTCTTTCATGTAGTCACAGATATGGTGTTTCGCTCGTTCTGCATTTTCACTTGGTCTCACAGTATGATGCTGTTTGATCGGTTTTCAAGAAATTTTTAGTGTTGACTTTGAAATCTTCGAGTTCTTGGAAAAGCTTATTTTTTATTTCTTCTGTAATTGATTTCTCCCTTGCCAGTATCCATGCGAATTCAAAATGTATATCGACTAATTCCGAACAGGAATAAATAAGAGTATATGTTTTGTAGTCTGTGTCAACCACCCAGTAATTTCCATATGGAGCAGCTGAAATAAAAAGTTGAATTTAGAAGTATAAATATGTTTATTAGGTACGAATTGTAATTTTGTACAGAATTTGTGTACAAGTTATCAGTATTCTGCGAACGTCTTAACATAACTTGATAAACAAGCACATTTGATTTTGATTTAGCTCATCACTGTCATATGCATTGGAGTCCTCAATGCACTTCAGCTTCGCACTTCATTTGGCCTTTTTAACTTTATTGATTCGAGCGTCACTGATGAGTCTTTTGTAGACGAAACGCGTGTCTGGCGTACAAAATCTTAATCCTTGTATCTATGATGAGTTTAAATATACACATGTCTTAATGCTAGTATATTATATAACACTGTAACAAAGTCTATTTATGCATATTGTAAGATAATTTGGTCTCTACATATGCTTTAAAGAAAAGTTTTTAATAGGAATCGAACCAAGGCTGGGTCCTCATTTGTAACTTTATGGGAAATAGTGCAGTGCTTAATGTTTGGTTGAAGTTTATAAATTTGTGAGTACAAAATCGAGCTGGTTAATCATTAATGACACATGTGTGTCACCTAGCTAGATTACACGTACACAACATCTGTATAAACTATAATTTGGAAACAACATGCATAAGAATATAAATCTTTGTCATAGCGTCAACCTATACAGCACTTGATTGATTACATCTCTGCTGCTAAATATAACGCCGTCGAACACTCGAACAAAAACGCATTTATTCTTTAATTCACTTTTGAGAATCGTTTTATATGCGATTTCGAAGGTACAACACCAATAAACACTATGTAATATTTTTTTCTTTTTTTTCCTTTGAAAATTGATAGTATATATACATTTGTGCTATCATTTTCAAAATTTGAATTACTTTTAGCATGTAACAGTATCATTATAATATTGTGTTTATTATGCACAGTAATCAAACATTTATTTATAGTTTGTACCTAAAACCACATGACCCATGACTGTTTCAGATAAAATTCGCATTTATCTCCGATTCCATACACTTTCATTATACATAACTACGACAGCAATGTTTACAAACACAGCCTGAGAAAATAAATGAGAACTCATAGCCAAACTTAACTTGAAAAAATACTTTTTTTTTTACATTTTTTGTATAGTCATAGAAATTAAACAAACCTTCAGAAAATTTAACCAATAGCTTTGCTGGTTCATTCTCATCGGGTGCATATCCATCACCAACTATTGAAATCGTTTCTCCATTCCTGAAAGAAAAATCAAGGTATGTTACTCCAACTGAGAAATTATAGTCATATCAGAGTTATCTCCCATGTAACGTTGATATTTTTCTCAATCTTTCGGGCAATCGTTTATGTATTCAGTCTGACTTTGAATGAAATGTTTGACATTGGACATTAAATAAGCAATAATCAAGCAATATTAGGCGGTAACGAAAAGTTCATAATTAACTGATTGAACATTGAACCGTTGACATATTTTTATGTATGCATCTGAAATGCATGTAACTTGAATAATCTAATATTGGTTACCATAGATATAATTGCCATCTATGTGGTTACTAATGCAGTAAAAATACCGCCAATTGATCCCTAAACTGGCCTTTCTACTTACGGCGTCTTTCCTTCGTTAAGAACTCGAATGTGTTTGTCCTCCTTAAGTAAATAATTAGCTTTTATGCATTCTTGTCCGTCTTCAAAGTTAGCTTTGAATTTGTAGATTTCATACCAATCCCCGAGATACTGAAATAAAAATTCATACTTGTACTACTATTTTAGCGCGGCTCGCTATGATCATCTCCAATTAAAACTCATCAAGTAATGCTTTTTAATATTACTATGCTTTTTTATTATCAATTTCAAACACATTATCCTACATTTACTAAAATCGAACTGGTATACCTCACATTTTATATATATCAAATACATATTCATAGAAATTCACATGTATGCTTTCTTTTTAAAGCAAATTTTTATAGTAAAAAAGGAAACGAAAAAATGATAAATGTCGAGCAAGTAAAAAAATGTCTTCAGAATATTTCGACCTGCTCATCATTTTTTTCCAGGAAATTATTTCACTTATAATTGTTTGCTCGCTCCTACGAGTACCATAAAATAAATAAAAAGACCCGGCAACACATAAATTCATTGTGGCATTATTATCATTTTACTTAACTAGATTTAAAGTCCCATCTTCCTAACTTGCCAGGCAAAATTTCAGTCCCTATCAAATTTCCCTTTTTGCAGTGAAAGTTTCAAGATCGACCCGCTATCCAGAACCTATACTTATACTTGAACTTGATGTAATGTTTAATTTAAAATTGAGAATGGAAATGGGGAATGTGTCAAAGAGACAACAACCCGACCAAAGAGCAGAAAACAGCCTAAGGCCACTAATAGGTCTTCAACACAGCGAGAAAATTCCGCAACCGGAGGCGAGCTTCAGCTGGCCCCTTAAGAAAAATGTGTACAAGTTCAGTGAAAATGAAAGTTTAAACTCCAAAACATATAAATGAACTAAAATTAAAAAAAAAACATACAAGTGGGACAGGCGCAAAAATGCGGCGGGGTTAAACATGTTTAGTGCTACTCAGTAATAAACGTTTAAATATGAAGTGTCTCTGATGAAAGCTCATCTAGTACCAGTGGCGGATCCAAAAATTTTCATAAGAGGGGGCCCGCTTAGTCATGCTTCAGTGATTCCCTAAACAATCAACCAAATTTTCCCCACAAAACCCTAAATCCGCCTCTGAGTACTATAAATTATGTTTCCGCACTCGTTAAAGGACACTAATTTTCTAATAAACAAAATCAAGTTTATCAAACCAGAAAATCATCAGTGAAATCTGTTTTAACTTTTCAACCCGAAATAATAACTGGGTGCTAGAAATATTGTCACCTGGTTTCTCATCCAGCAGTAAAACTTAAAGTAAAGAGGGGCATCCGTTTGGCTGAGTGAGATGTATAAATACGCAGTCTCATCTAATTCGAATAAAAACGTTCACTTGGTGCATTTATTTAAAAGGGAAAGTATCATTGATTTTATTTTTAGTCTTATACATACACATGTATATAAAATAGTTTGTCGAAAGATTATAGATTACTTGATCATAAATGTTCATAATGTCGTACCTCTTTTACGTCGAGTTCTTTTTGTGCCACCACAGAAGGACATTTTCCTACACCAACTATCTGCGCATGAGTAAAACCAACATTAAGTATGGAACATAATACACAGAGTGCCACCGTAAACATTTTGATTAGAAGTATTAACAAACGTGATCGTGTTGCAATATATATACTTCAGTTACTTAAGATCTTTATGAAACATCTGAAGAGGTCAACATGATTCAATATGATATAACAACGCCTGACCGACATAAGGAGTAGCCTACTATTTTTAAACATATGTATATGTAACTGTACAACAAAATTGAATTTCAAAAATAAACAACAAAGGTCTTTTAATCGTCAGTTTTTCAGGTTTATAATAACAGCACCTTATGTATGGTCATTCTAACTCTTTTTTGTAAATTGACTTGTTTTTTTGTAAACAAAACTATTGTAATTTCACAGATAAATTTCAAAAACGTAAAAGGATGATCAAACAAAAAATGTGTTGTCGAGTTGTAACACAACCCCTCTTTTTCAGAACCTGGCAAACATTTTGTTTTGAGGGTCATATTGTTTAATAAATTGTTTGTTTCTAAGATTTTAAAACAAATATAACTGTTTTCAGAACGGAATGGATTGCTTTTTTTTTGTTTTTTGCATTAGTGAAAAATTTTGAAAAAATTGTTTTGTGATGTGTATTTTTAAATAAAGTTGAAAAAAATGGTGTGTCCAGAGAAACAACCCTTTCTCATACGTACATAAATACCCCCCCCCCCCCCCTCACACACACACAAGGAAAGATCGATGCTTTATACGAGAATGAACACGTGAAAATGCAACATAGACACGTGGATGAATTGAAATAACATATATAAATACGTATAAGTTTACCTTTGATTGACGCTGTTTCACTTTGAATTCCAACAGTTTTACTTGCTGGGTTATTATGTGTTTACCTTTCTGTCTGCGATATGTGTGATGCTTGCCAATGGGAAAGCAATCTTTCGAAGATGTGAACAACGATCTTCAACAATGTGCAAAACCCATACCGTATTGGCCCCGATATGTTAAAATGCGAAATATTTCAACAGTATAAAAACAAACGGTTTGATTTATTCTGCAAAAATAAATAAAGCAGCGCGATGTTGTGCAATAAACCGTAAAAATAGGATGTGATGTACCGTTTTAATAATATTTTTACCGGTGTATCCAAACTTCCAGTTCTACGCAAAACTATTTTAGGACCTCAAAAAAAATATTATTTGAATTCGACATCACGAATTTAAAAACTCATGATCACGAATCAAAATCGTCATCATGAATTGTAAAACTATGATTTAATTATCAGCAATTATAATTCCTTATCACGGATAAAATTCGTGATAATGAATCTGTTGAATTGATTATTCATAATTTTGTAATTCGTAGTAAAGGAAGAAATCTGTTATCACGGATTTTTTAAAAACGTTATTATAATATCAAATTTGTTATCACGACTAAAATAAAAACATTGTCGTAATCGCAAATTTTTAATCCGAAAATTTGTGATAACAAACTCATTGGATTCTTTATCACGCATTTAATCCGTAATAGCGAAACAGAGTTTGTTATATCGAATTATACATTTTAAATCCGCTATCACGAATTACACAAATCTGTGATAACAAATTCCTTAGATTCGTTATAAAGAAAGCACTCCGTAATAACGCATTATAAAATTCGCGATAACAATTTTTGAAAATCGTGATCCCGAATAAAAATTATATTTTGGGAGGTCCTAAATGGTCTTACTAATCAAGTCTTCATATATACGATCAAATTGAATAATTCAAAAATGTTTTGATTGACTTGTGGTAAAGAAATCCCTTGGTAGAAAATTTACCGTTTAAACATGGATTACGCTCGTGAAACAAACGTCACTACAAATACTGGCATAGTGGGAAATAGTTTGGACAAATTTACACCGTTTGGAGGGCCCAAAGAAACATTACTGTCAAAAAGGGAAAATTGACAATATGGAACGATAAATCGTCGATTTTGTCGTAAATTTTGTAGATTCTTTCCTGTGTGAAACAGAAATATCCAAAATCAAGACAAGGACAATTATTGCTGTTCATATTACTAGATTTATTTAATGTCAGTACTCTGAGGTAAATTTCCGGAGCATAAATAGAGAATAGTTGATTTTATATTTAAAGCTAAAATATTATCAGGGCAACTGCAAGTGTTATTGGATTATTCTATCAGATTAATTTACGACGGAACTATCCTGAGTTGTCCATAAACTGTGATTCGCAAAACTTACAGAAACAATTAAGTCTCCTATTATATAGGCGCAATGCGTGACCATAGGAATACCTATGCTAAAATCTACAAGAATAAATTAAACAGCTTATTTCATCTGATAACAGTTCCAGCTTGTATATCTAGCAAACATTTTTCTTTACAGAAGAAGGCTTTAGTATAAAAAAAAAGCAAACAAATTTAAAATCAATTTTTTTTGAAGGACCATTTGATAAATAAGTAAATTTCTGTTTGATACGACTGTGAGGAATTGTAGTGAGTGTAGTTTAAAGAGTCGAAAAGTCATTTCCCGTCAACCGAATTGAAAGGTATATTTTTACTTAATCGTCTGAAAACATTATGGTATTCGTTTAGGTAGTATCCTGGTAGTGACAAAAGGAAACCAATAATTGCTAACAAACAATTGAAGAGTTGAAATTTCATTAAAACTTCAAAGCATATTCTTTAAAAAGTTAAACGTCGGGATATCGCTATGGAAATATGACTATGAAAGTTTTATCGGTACAAACGTTTATAAGGGTTCAAAATATTTTTTTACGAGACAAACAAACACTAAGTAACCTTTGCAAACTGCTTACACCTATATTGTAAAAAATGTGCATTTTGATTAAACAATTTTTTAAACTAATGTTTATGATTTTAAGCGTTATTTATTGTTCAAAGTTTAGGTCGAGAATTTAGACCCAAAGTATGAATGTATATATTTTATCTGATTAGACAAGTGAGAAAATGACCAAGTTTTGTTTACGTGTACTAAGATATATCAAAATGTTTATCTCCGATCATTGACTTTTAGCCTATCTGTCCTTTACATAAACACAAAGTTCTAGTGTACTCAGGAAAATGTTATATCATGGGTCAGATCTTGGAATTGATTTTTCAAATAAAACTAAACCGAATTGCCTGTTAGTACTTTGCCCTTTGACTGTGTCCAGTAACTGTATAACGTCTATGTTTTAGTAATATCTACTGTCACTTTCATGTTTGCATGTCATGTAGTTTTTTTTTTTCTTCTTTGATACCAAAATTGATGATTTTCTAAGCAGTTTTTGGTGGATTAATTGTTATTGTGCTTTTTGTCTTCACATCACTGTACTGAAATTTATGTTGGAGAGAATTAAAATATGATTGAATGGCGATTGCTTAACATACAAGGCCTGGAATAGTATACAGTTCAAACAAAGTAGTTTTACGCATATGTGTAACTATTAAACAATGTATAATATAAAATATTTCTGTAGTTTTGTTATCTAATGAAAATTAAACGACTGGGGCATCACTGCAGAACTCCTGTTGCGTGTTTTATATTTTGAATAATGAATTAGGGGGGGGGGGGTAAATTTTGCCTTTTTCTCATATCAGAAGTTCCTGTTTTGTATACTTCCTTACCAGTACGCTCTTAAATGCAATTATAGTTATGTTAATATTTTTCAGCACTGTCATGACATGAAATTACTGTCACTTTATTTAAAAAAAACAGACGGAAATTATAAGGGGACATAATAAAAAAGCACAAGTTGAAGAAAAACCGCCAATAGTCTCGAAATCTTGGTTTATTATTTTAGTTGGAATTGACTTTATATAGATATAAGAAGATGTAGTATGAGTGCCAATGAGACAACTCTCCATCCAAGTCACAATTTGTAAAAGTAAACCATTATAGGTCAAAGTACGGCCTTCAACACGGAGCCTTGGCTCACACCGAACAGCAAGCTATAAAGGGCCCCAACAATGACTAGTGTAAAACCATTCAAACAGGAAAACCAACGGTCTAATCTATATAAAAATTGAGAAACACTTATGAACCACATCAACAAACGACAACCACTGACCATCATGTTCCTGACTTAGGACAGGTGCAAATGCGGGTTTAAACGTTATAATAGGCGCCAACCTTCACCCTACCCGAAACAATAGTGTAACATCACAAAATAGAAAGACACACTATAAAATATCAATTGAAATGGCTTAACTCAACTAAAAGACATATTAACAAAAACAAGTGAACACAGTTACACTGAACGCATAATTTTGATCTATGACACAATGTAATAAAATACAAAATTAATAAAACAAGGGGTTTAGATGTTTAACAATATCAGAAAGACAACCATAACCTTGGACAAAATGCCGCAAAATAAAATAACGTACACAGGTAAATAAAAATAATTTTGTTGTAAGGTATACATAGAGTACGGAAATAATTTTTACAAAATAAATAATTTTGTTGTTCTTAGTACGAGAACAAAAGTGAATGTTTATCGTTTGAATAGGTTTCGGTAATTACGAGTAGATTTGTCAGAGATTTTGGTGTGCTTAGTGCCGATCTAATGAGTTATGTTTTTTCTATCCATCTTTAACATTTGTTGTGCTGTTGTGCTGTAACACCACTTTCAAGCATAGGGGAAGGTTGATTGCTCACAAAAATGCTTAACCTCCCTGCATTTATGTGTCAGGTCCAAGTCAGAAGCCTAAAATGCATTGGTTGTTATTGGTAGCTGTCTGCCTTATTTGTTTTTCGTTTTTTGTTTACACATAAATCACGATCACATTGTTTGTTTTCTCTTTTGAATTGTTTCATATTTAGTCATGTTTAATGCATCTTTGCTAGCCAAGGGTTACGATCCAGTCCCCTCCTCTCTTGGCGGATTAAGACAGAATTTCGGAAATGTTGGAATGTCAATGTATATTTTCGGTTCCTGTTTCACGAAATTTGTAAACACTAGGCACAACAATATTTACACCTCCAAACTGAAGAGAGTTCAAGTGCTCTCATTGGTCAAAAAAGATGTAGTCGGAATGGGTGTGACTTTTATCTACCGGTAGATGGCGCAACATTGTTTCACAAATGTTGGCTTAATCTGCCAAGGGTGGAGAGGAGGGGACTGGATCGTAACCCTTGGCTAGCGTAGATGTGTTTAATGACATCCTCGTCCTTGGTCTCATTGGCAATCATACCACAACTCCTTATTTTTTTATTAATTGCATGGCCAAAAATTAAAGAAGAAAAAAAACCTAAAAAAAAAAACATTTCAACATAAGACAAAACACAAATGTGTTAAAGAATGCTTGAAATAACGGAATTTAACCTAAAACCAATGGGGCCATAAACTATTCCTATTCAGAATTTTCTTACGTAAAAATGTGCGTACTCAAAAGCTGTTATGATGCATAACATTTCTCTAAAAACAGAACTAAGAAGACATAACAAACAAAACATTTTAATAAACATTTAAACATTCAATTGGTACAATATACAGAAGTTTGATTTGTTTTCAAAAAGTTGCTTGTATTTATTTTGAAGTCCGCCATTTGTTTAAAAAGTTTGTTTTTGATATCATCGCTGATTGTCTTTTCTCTGGCCAAAATCCAAGCAAATTCGAAATGTGTTGCTCCAAACAAAAGATCTGTACACGAAAATATTAAAGTATATGTTTCATAATCCGTGTCTAAGACCCAGTAGTCTCCATATGGCGCAGCTGAAACGATATAAACAATTAAGTTAAAACCAAGAGTTCAAGATGAATATATAGAAACCGCAATTTGTGAGACTTCCTCGATTTTGTTTGCACAAAAACACAACACACATTTTAAATCGTTCACGGTTAGCATGCTTACTATTTCAATGACATGTTAAATTTATCTAGGTTCTGTATACAAATAAAAAAATCAAACATTATGTGTGCTTATAAAAGTTCAAATAAATATCGTAAGGAGAAGGGCATTAAAAGAGTCAAGAAAATAAAATGTTTAAAAACTATTTCAAACAAGCACATTATGTTAGGAAATGCATACGGTCAAGAATTATAAATTGATGTTAAAAGATTTTTAATGCGTTGGTGTCTTAATTACGTCATGCACTGCTTTCATTAAAACGAAGAAAAATGCTGAATTAAGCAATCTTCCATTCATATATCTGTTGAGAAAACATCGTGCGCAGCCAAAATACAACAAAATGATTTTAGAGAAGCTTCATGATCCTTTATTAAAGTTATTTACATAATCTGACCTACATGTAATACATACAGTTGTTTTGTGGATGTGCATGTACTTTTCCAATACTAAATATACATGTGTGGCATGTAAGTCGTATATTAACTAGTAGATTTTTTTTTTTTATTTGCGAGACTTCCTCGATTTTGCACAAAAACACAACACACACAACACATTTTAAATCATTCACGGTTAGCATGCTTACTATTTCAATGACATGTTAAATTATCTAGGTTCTGTATACAGATAAAAAAATCAAACATTATGTGTGCTTATCAAAGTTCAAATAAATATCGTCATTATTTGCACTGCTTTCATTAAAACGAAGAAAAATGCTGAATTAAGCAATTTTCCATTCATATATCTGTTGAGAAAACATCGTGCGCAGCCAAAAAACAACAAAATGATTTTAGAGAAGCTTTATGATCCTTTATTAAAGTTATTTACATAATCTGACCTAATACATACAGTTTTTTTGTGGATGCGCATGTACTTTTCCAATGCTAAATATACATAAAAGTTGATTTAGAACAGGGAAAATCAAGAAATTTTACAAAATCTAAAAGTTCGTCATGGTTGTATGGTTACTCGTTAAATGTTAAATTTGGTTTTATCTTCTTTACACTTTGTAGTATAAGGGCCTTATTTCCCCCTACTCTTTTTCGTTGCCCTTGGCTTGGACTTGGAAAATCTGTTTCCACTTTTACTTACCAGAGGCAAATCTAAGTTTAAGTCTTGCTGCATCACTTTTATCAGGGATATAAGCGTCGCCCTCTGCAGACGTTTGTTTTCCGTCTCTACCAATAGAAAACAGAAAAAAATACAGTATTTAAAGTTATTAAGATTTACTGCCAGAATAAGTACGGAATAGGTAATACGAGAATCAATTTTAGACCAAACTAAAAATCGGAAAATGGTTCCTTTCATTTTGTATCGATTAAATTCGTTTTTTTTTAATTAATTGTTTTAATTAGTTACTTTTTTAAAAAGTTTTCCCATGATCAATTGATGTTTGAAACTTAATCAATATAATAGTGCATTTTTATGACCAAATATCTTCAGTCAGAGATAACAATAAAAAATAACGAAAACCATGAAAACTTTCAAATTTCAGTTCATTGATTCTCGGAAGACAAAGAAATAAAAAAAAATCGCTATGTTTCTTGTTTTGAGGACCAATTTAAATCAAATATAATGAAAATATAAAATATAAATAAAAGATACTCACGGTCCAAATCCAGAATTAAATATATCAATGTGGCCATTATCTTTCAGCTTGTAATTTGCCTTATTACAGACTTGGTCGTTTTCAAAACCAGCTTTGAATTTGTATATTTCATACCAATCTCCAAGATACTGAAACGACAACAAAGATTATGAAATAATTTTAAGGGACTATATATAGATATAAAAAGATGTGGTATGAGTGCCAATGAGACAACTCTCCATCCAAGTCAAAATTTATAAAAGTAAATCATTATAGGTCAAAGTACGGCCTTCAACACGGAGCCTTGGCTCACACGGAACAGCAAGCTATAAAGGGCCCCAAAAATTACTAGTGTAAAACCATTCAAACGGGAAAACCAACGTTCTAATCTATATAAAAAATGAGAAACGAGAAACACTTATGAACCACATCAACAAACGACAACTACTGAACATCAGATTCCTGACTTAGGACAGGTGCAAACAATTGCAGCGTGGTTTATAGACTGTTTTGCTTAACTGGCATCTTATTATAATATTGTCTTAGTATTTTATTACCAGAAATGAAAAATTTTGTATGTTTCTCAAGTTGATTCATACTATAATAATGTAAAGCTATCGTTTTCCAGCATTTTCCAGCATATTATTATAATTGGACACATTTATCTATAATATATGACAGTTTACCAGGAAATCGGTATGTCAGTGGAGATTTTTTTTTTAAACATAGAAAATTGTTAATATTATAATATAAAGATTTGGATTTCCATTTCTTGTTTATTAGATATTATTTCAAAATTCTTTTCATTTGACTAAACTTTTGAATGTGATTTATATTGTCACTGTCCTGAGCGAGCTCGATGTAGATTATAAAAGACCCGGTGTCGATTAAATGTATTTGCGGATGACAAAAATGTCCATATTATGACAGTTATTCAGATTATTAAGATAATGAATGTGTTTAAGCTGAAAACAATGAAAATATCTTTTTTTCATTCAGTACGAAACTGTCAAGGGTTCGTTCACAAATATTGTTATTTTCTGACATTGACTTAATATTATATATTTATATGTACATTTTCGTTCGCTTCCAAACGAAGAGCTAACAAATGAGAAATTACACATGCAATTAATTAATTTCACAATATTTGCATAATGCATGAAACAAAGTACAGGTGTATATATCTAAATAAATGAAATTAAAAGTAAGTAGACCAAGAATGAACAAATCGAAAAGAAAAAACACTTACTTGATTTATATCAAATCCTGATTTTACTGAAACAGTAGGACATTTCCCTGTACCAAACACTTGGGCGTAAGAACAACCCAGAAACAGACAGAGGATACAACCAGCAAGGGACAACATTTTGATCGAAACTATTCGAAAATCTAAGCCGGGTAGTATTAATAGCTTATAAATATCAGATGTTCGGACATGTGAATCCTTATCATGGATTTCATAAGATATAACCACTTGTGGTCATTTTTCTGTGTCCAAAACAAAGTGATTTCATATAGGATTTATTCAAGGTTAATGATGGTCAATTCTATGTATTGTTCTTTTTATTTTAAATATTGTCCACGTTGGAATAACGTGCGCTCTGCATTCATGGCCCACTTCGGTTTTATCACAATATGATATGTGTTGTCGTATATTGACTATAATAGTTTTGGCGACAGAACCCAAGTCTCAACACTTGATTAGGCACGAGATGATGCGAGTAAACATTTTATCTCCTTCTAATTTGTGTGTGTGTGTGTGTGTATGGTGAAAGAATCTTATCAAGTTTTATTAGACAACATGCTTTTGAAATACATTCATATTCATTGATAAGATAAAAACTTGACATTATTGCGGCTAAATAAAAACCTTGATACTTGTAAAAAAAACTCAGAATAAATCAGTAGAAGAGGACGTTTTGATGTAGTTTTGTCAACTCTACATTTATGTACCTTGCATCTTTAGTTGGATATAGTCCTGAATAAACATGAAACATGAGCTACTCAGCGAACATTTAGCAAACATCAATCAAATGGTCAATTTTCATTTGAAATTTAATGCAAGAATGGAAAATTTATCAATTTCATAAAATGCATAGACTTATATAATGTTTGCAGCTTTTAATGTTTGAACTAATTCTTTTAGGCTTTTCAGTATAAAACTGAAATTGGAACGGAAATGGGGAATGTGTCAAAGAGACAACAACCCGACCAAAGAGCAGAAAACATCCCAAGGCCACCAATGGGTCTTCAACACAGCGAGAAAATCCCGCACCCGGAGGCGGGCTTCAACTGATCCCTAAACAAAAATGTGTACTAGTTCAGTGAAAATGAACGTCACACTAAACTCCGAAACACATAATGAACTAAAATTAAAAAAAACATACAAGACTAACATAGGCCAGAGGCTCCTGACTTGGGACAGGCACAAAACTGCCTGAAATGAATGTATATTTGATTTGTTAAGGAAAAGCAAAACATAATGAAAAAGGAGGGATCAAATGTGCTAACTCATGACACAAAATCCCTACACGCAATTGACAAAATCAAAAGAGGAGGAATTGCGCTTTTATGTTGTTCTTCATCTGAAAGGTGTAATGAGGTCTTGAACACAGAACAAAAGCTCGCATAGTTTTTTTTTTTTTTTAATTATTTCCTATATATTATGAAAACAAGAATATGTGTCCATAGGACACCATGCATCGTTCGCATTATCAAATTTCCATGTTTTGTGAATCGGGAATTCTGGGTTAAAATCGTGATTTTGGCATATATCTTATCATAATAAACATGCGTACTAAGTTTCAAGTTGATGTGACCATGACTTTTTGGTAACCTTAAATTCTGGGTCAAAACCCTAATATGGCATATATTTTAAAAAGTTCACATTATAATAAATATGTGTATTAACTTTGATGGGTTGATGTAACAACAACTCCATGGTTAACTACTTTAAACCAACGTCAATCATTTTTTGGTAGGGATGAGCAGCTGAGACCTCATGCGCCCGACAAATTTCGTATAACAAAAGACATTCGTACCCTAACATATATAATAAAAATAAACCTATATCTATCATGATTACGCTATTTCACGGAGAGGTATATTGATTTGAAAATATCTTATGTATTTACGACTGTGGTTTTGCATTGCATCTAAGAAAAATATCCAATCTGATTAATTCCAGATACTTTTGATTTTTGAAATGAGGAACCTTTTGATATATAATTCATCTTAATTTGATCTTATTATATACATGTATCGTTGGGCTCGAAAGAGTGACCCATGCGAGCGGCTCATGCATACTACACACAACGTTATCATTAATAAACTTAAAATCGCGCGTAACGTTATAAATAAGTAAAAACATGACGAAAAACAACAGCATATAAAAAATCTAAAAATATATAGGTGTTGCTGTTTGATAGTTAAGATAGGAACACTTCCATTGGTTGAATGACATTGCAAGGTGCGCGCTTAATAACGTTATAGCTACTGGTGGTTACCTAGCAACTGACGTCATACACGCCAAGTTGTGTGTTGTGTGCAGACGTCGCCATTGTAAACAACGTCAACGAATAACATCCGGTTACAGTTAATTAGTTCAAACTGGGCTATATTATTTTAATCATGCCAAAATGTTACTTGAATGGTATTCGAGGATACAGAACAGGAAAATACAAAAGCAATACGGGTATGAAAACTATATTGAACGTGGAATTAGTTGAAAAACTGGTGTATAACGTAACTTCGTACGTGTCCGTAACGGCTGAAACTCAAATGTTTTTTTAGTCTTTCAACTGTCCTCAATGTTCCTTTCAAACGATTTTTCTTGTTTTTACGTTGATCCAGTGTGTTTTTTTTTAATTTAAATCCGATTTCATTCAGAGTTAACACCTTGTTGAATATGAATCAACTGCATTGGTTATTTTTTTTTATTATTTCAAGGGAAGATAATTCACGTTCTTAAAAGCAGGTGCCCTGTAACATGCGTCAAAGCAAAATTTGAAATAGCCTTCCAATACGTCACAATTAATAGGACTAGTGCTTGCCTTCAGAGGTGTTCGCAAATATATGAGTGAAAACAAACCAATAAAACAAGTTATTTTGACATGATTTAATAATATTACTGATTTTTAATTGAATATTTTGAGGAGAGAATAGGGTTTACTTTGAGAGGAACAGCTTAAGTTTTGGCTCCAAGAGACGGTGCTAGTGTCTTAACATTTGCCTGTTTCTATATATGGACCTGTGTCTTCTCCTTGTCTAAAATTTAATTCAAAATAGTGGGGTACTGATTGTCTCAGCTGCTCACCCTACCACAAAAGGATTGAAGTGGCCCCGAGTCTGACGGTAAAATGATTACACCAATATTTTGATTGAATTAAATGTTGTTTTTTTTATTGTGAATTTTTCAATTGTATCATTTGTCAGTCTTCCACTGACCAAGAGAATAAGGGGAATTGAGCATAAACATATCTAGCTTTGTAAATGTACTCTATAAGTTTCAGACAATCTTGCTTTTATATCGAAACAGGCATATTTCTCTCATTTCCGTCTATCGCGAACAGCAGACACAAACATGACCACATTTAGCATTGAAAAAGAGGGACGAAAGATACCAGAGGGACAGTCAAACTCATAGATCGAAAACAAACTGACAACGCCATGGCCAAAAATAAAAGACAAACAGACAAATAATAATACAGATGACACAACATAGAAAACTAAGCAACACGAACCCCACCAAAAACTGGGGGTGATCTTAGGTGCTCCGGAAGGGTAAGCAGATCCTGCTCTACATGTGGCACCCGTCGTGTTGCTTATGTTATTACAAATCCGGTAAATAGTCTAACTCGTTAGGTCACATTCGTGAAAAGGGAAGGGTATTGTAGTTACGACATAAGGAACATATCCGATATCATCTGTGAAACGGTTATTCCATAAAGGTCAACCAACTCGTGATGGCGTCCGTAAAATTTACGAAGGGATGATTTCAACTTCACCATTTGGAACTCTTGGTTTAATAGCTTCCTTGTGAGCAGCAATCCTCTATCAAGGAAATCATGATAGGAAATACAAGCTCGGGAATATCGTATCAATTGGGAGATATATACTCCGTATGCAGGCGCTGCTGGAATGTTGCTACATAGAAATGGAAAGTTCACAATTGGGAAGCTGAAATCATCTCTTTTGTCGTAAAGTTTTGTTTTCAACCGACCCTCATTGTCAATTTCTAGGTGTAAGTCAAGATATGAGGCAGACTTAACTGTATCTGTAGTATCCTTTATCTCTAGTTCGATGGGATAGATTCGTTCAACAGTCACCAAATTTTGTATTATTTAGTGAGAGGACACCATCTATATAGCGGAACGTATTGTACTATGAAATGAGATGGCAAGTATCTAAGACAACACTCATATGAAAAACTACAGCTATAGAAATATATGAGCATAACGAAATCAGAAATCTATATTTTAATCAGATTAAAGTCGACTTTTCTACTACCGCGGTGCTAAATCGTAAATGAAACATAATAAACGAACCAATAAGATAGTAGGATGCTAAAGTAAATAAATTAGATATATATGTGAATAACGAGAGATGTGGTGTATACGTCAATGAAACAACAACCAAACCGAGACAAATATTATACTAGTAAATTAAAAACATCTGCAGGTTATAAAAAAATTAAACAGATTCAGTTCATGAAGTTAAGCCATTTGCAACTGATTTGCAGTGTGTTCGTATGTTGGGATGTAACACCGCTGTCAGAGGGTTGAGCGGTCACAAACATGTCTAACCCTGCTGCACTCTTTATGTGCCTGTCCCAAACAAGGAGCCTGCAGTTCCGGGGTTGTTGGTTCGTGTCTATCATATTTGTTTTTTTTCGTAAATTGCATTTTGTATTGTATAAATTAAACCGTTAGTTTTCTTATTTGATTTGTTTCACATTTTTGTGAACACCAAATTCCCTTATATAATATAAGATTTTGTTGTTGTTGATATGACATATAGTTTATTAGAATATACTTTACAAGTATTCTGTTGTCATATTGGTATGCTTCTGATGTTTCAAAATAGCTTATAATCTAACTGTCCAATTTGAATATACACATGGATATGGAAACGGGAAACTTACACATTTTGTAAATGGCACCCATGTAATGTTAAAATTCATGACATTTAAAGATATAAAACTCACAAAGTTTTTTAATAAAAAAAAAATAAAATGACATATTTATTTATATTTTTAGAGCATGACCCATATGTTATGACAACAAGGTCTGGCTTGTCCATCAAGAAAATTCCTGGACCTCGAGGTCTGGGAGTTGCAACAAAGCAACAAACGCAGCTGCCTAGACAGAGTAAGGAAAGTGTCGTGACCAAGAAATACCCAGTAATCAAATACAAATCTCTGAGCTATCTGTCTTTTGTAACTAGATTTGCTTTGGCATTGAGGGTTCCAGAATTAGAACTCGCTGGAGTGAACCCAAAAGAAACATTGGAGTATTTAGGTGATGATGGGTATTTTTATCGGTCAAATAGTGATTCAACTTCAAGCGGAGGGGACTCAAACGATGAAGACTACGAATCAGAATCGGGAGATGAAGTGTTTGAAGGAGTGGATGATAACGTATTTTACGGTTCCGAGGATGATGACAATAAAAATTCCCAAGGGGAGAATGACTCCTTATGTGATAGTGTCAGCGATATTCGCTTGACTGACGAAAATCAAAACTTCAGTGACAACAGTGCTGATTTAATTGTCGATAGCAGTCAGAATTTAGAATCGAAGTTTTTGGGTGTCTCGCTTTCTACAATTAGTGGACCTGACATTAACAGGCTTAACGAAACTGATAAACCCTTCGCGTTACAACTGAAAACCGAAACACAAATTTCGTTTAAATGCGAAGACTGTGAAAGAAGTTTTACCATATATTCAGCGTACCAAGCGCATGTTCGCTCTCACTCTAAACAAAGAAATCGATGTGGAGTATGTGGAAAAATCTTCACACGTTCCTGGCTCTTGAAAGGACATATGCGCACGCATACTGGGGAAAGACCGTTTCCCTGTCCTGCTGAAGGATGTGATAAAGCATTTGCTGACAAGTCAAATCTTCGATCGCATATGCTTATTCATAGTGTAACTACAAAGAACTTTACTTGCCAGAAATGTGGACGTGCTTTCGCTCAAAAGCGTTATCTCCACAAGCATATGCTAGAAGTGTGTCGTTTGATATAAGATTCATAACAACTTTCATAAAACAATTTTCTTTTACTTTAACACATCTCTTTTATTTTGGATATTTATCATACTATCATAATTTTCATGTTACTCAGTTTTATGTTTTCTCGGTTGTTTTTTGTGTACTGTTGTTTGGGTTGTTTGTTCGTTTTTTGCTAAGGCTTTTTTGGTTTGTTTTCGACTTATATGAGTTTGAATATGATCCATTTGGTATCTTTTCCCCTCTCTTCTACTTTTCTTTACAACGAATTACTGGTATTTATTATCGTGTTAATCAATACATGTTTTGTTATTTTAAACAAGAAAGGAATTAGCGGTGTAACATAAATACAAGAATATGTAACTTTTATATTCAAATCTTAATACAAAATCTGTATTGCCATATATTCCAATGTTGTAAGTTAAGTCTTATTTCATTGGTGGGCGTCATGGCAACCAATAACCTTTGTACATGTATACACCTGTCTCATGACGTTACGAGTTTGAATCTACAAAAACGGGATTAATGTTGATAAAAATGTAACTGGACTTTTTTGGTGCATTTAATTGTAATTATAAGAAATAAAGGTTATTTATTTTAAAGATTTTTTTGTGTGTACTCACAAACTATACATGAAGTCGTTCGGATTCAGTTTGTGAGTTGGTGGACCAAGTTTACATTTCAATAAACTCCACCAAAACACATTTTTTGACTATAATAAACTAAATTAATTTGAGACAAATACAAAGAAATCCACAAATACATATAGAGGCATACAGCTGAGTTTATAAATCAACTAAACGTTCAACAAAAATATATGCATCCTTTCTTAAGTTCTACCGATTTTTTTATATATGCATGTATAGGTAACTAGTTTAGTTACTTGAAATGTTGTTGTTCTTTTTTAGGAATTTTTGATAAACAACAAAAGTTAAGTTATAATTTTGTATTTCAAAAAAAAAATAATAACGATCTCTTGATTCTTCATTAATTTAGCAATCCAATCAAAAATGTTTTGTCCTCTAATAAAATACAACTTTGGCATACACTCTGTATAGTCTGTGTTCTTTGGGAATATTAAAATGTCTTCATTTTTTCTTGATTATCAATTCGCAAGGAATATTTATAGCAAAGGATATATTTTGATTCTATCATAAAAAGAATTTTTGCATCGAGTGAAATACATCGTTTTTTTGTTCGTTTTTTTCTAGAGTCAATGAGGTATGGCAAATTGCCCTTTCTTTATTACTTTACATTTTATAATAGTAATGGTAAGAGCACAGTAGATTATATGTTGACATCACAGAATTTATTTTATACCATCAATAATTTTATGGTAGAACCACCTACTGATCTATCAGATCATTGTTTAATAGCATTGAATATTTTTAATTTTAAAAGTTCTAAAGAAATAAATAAGGAAGAACTATGGTCCCTTCCTGGTACTTTTAAATGAACCGATCAGAACAAGGACATTTATATTGATGCTTTATTAGAAGAAAACAGTGTAAAAGACATTCTATCTTTAAACAAACTAATTGACGATACTAATTTTAATGATATTGACTTCTTGGTGACCAAAACTAATGAAATATATTTAGAAGCTGCAAAAAAAGTCAGTTTCTTTTAAAGCAAATTTTAATAAAAATCCATAATGCAAAGACATACAAAAAAGGCAAAACCTAAAAAAGTATGGATGTCAAATGATTGCTTACTCCTTAGAAAAGAAGTTCGTTCCCTTGGAAATAGATTAGCTAAAGCCCCTAATAATAATGCATTAAGATTGACTTATTGCAACTGTAAAAGAGAATACAATAAACTTAAAAATAAACTGAAAAAGGATTTTTTTCAATCCTTGATAGAACAAATAAATGATATAAATCCAAAGAGCACCAAAGAATTTTGGGGTAGCATTAATAATTACAAAAAAAAGAATAATACAGGTAACTTGCCTGCTATTTCTGCCAAAGAATGGGAGATTCATTATAAAAATTTGCTTGCTTCAAGTGAAAATGATAAAACTGAAACAAATCAAAATATAGAGAACAAAGACCATAACTTTACTAATACATCCCTTAATGTCCCTATATTCCATGTAAAGAAATCAAAGACTGCATTAAGAAGTTAAAAAAGGGAAAATCTGGAGGTCCTGATCTGATAATTAATGAATTTCTAAAGGTAGGGTCAAACACTCTAGTTTTACTTTTGACAAAACTTTTTAATAAGATACTTAATTCAGAAAAATTTCCCAAATTTGGAACATTTCTCTTTTGACACCAATTTATAAATCTGGTGACCCATCTGATTGTGGGAACTATAGAGGTATAAGCATAACAAGCTGTCTTGGTAAAGTCTTTACCTCCATATTACAAAAAAGACTTAGTGATTTTCTTGAAACAAATAATTTATTATCTTCAAATCAAGGTGGTTTTAGAAAAAATTACAGAACTGTAGATCATGTCTATATTTTAAAAGCAATAATACACAAATATTTGTTTAAATGTAAAAAGAAACTATATGTGTGTTTTGTAGATTTTAAAAAGGCTTTTGACAGTGTCTGGAGATCAGCTCAATACCTAAAATTACAAAATAAAGGAATACAAGGCAAATTTTATAATATACTGCATGACATGTACTCTAATACCTTATATTCATGTAAATATCAAAATATGTTTGCTAAGCCTTTTCTTGCTAATCAGGGAGTCAAACAAGGAGACAGTTTAAGTCCAACTTTATTTAATATATTTGTTGATGACATAGGAAAATACTTAGATAAAACTCAACGAGTGCAGTTAATTTACATGATCAAAAAGTGAACCATTTATTGTATGCTGATGATTTATTATTGATATCTGAATCTGCAGCTGGTCTCCAGAACTCTCTTGATTCTTTGCAAAAATATAGTGCTGAATGGAAACTGGAAGTGAACTTTAAGAAAACAAACATTATAATTTTCTCTAAAAATAAAGTAAATAAAGAAAACTTGTACTTTTATTACAGTTCTAATGCAATTGAAATCGTTGATTGTTATAAGTACTTAGGAGTTGATTTTCATAGCTCTGGAAAATTTATACAGGCAGTGTCAAGCCTCTCAGATAAAGCTAAAAAAGCATATTTTGCATTAAAGTCTAAACTCCCATATAGTGAAAACTTGTCTGTTAAAACTTGGCTCCAGCTTTTTAATTCAATGATAATTCCTATTTTAACTTATGGATCAGAAGTATGGATATCAGAATTCAAATCAAATTTTGAAGCATTAGACAAAAGTAAATTAGAAAAAACACAAAACTCCATATTTAAAAACATACTTGGGGTTCATGGAAAGTCTTCCAATCTAGCAGTGCGGTGCGAATTGGGCACATTACCTATTAGCATTAAATGTTATCAACTTATATATAAATACTATGTGCGTCTCAGTGATATTGGTGAACGGTCTGGTGGTCCACATGAAATTCTCAAGGCTGCTTTTGAAGTGGGCAAAACTCTCACAAATAGAGAAAATTCATGGTCTAATAAATTATGTTAATTATTAAAATATATTGGAATACCCTTAAACAAGCATTGTAATAGTAATTTCAAACAGAAACTTGAAGATTTCTACAAAAATAAAATTATATTTGAACTATCTAAGATAAAAGATGGAAACTGTGGTAAACTTTTATTTTTTAGTAAAATTTATACTAAATTTAAACAACAAGAATATTTGAACTTTAATGTTCCTAAATATCTTAGAAAAAAACTCACTAAATTAAGAATAAGTGCACACTCATTAGCAATAGAAACTGGTAGGTATGCAAGACCAATAATACCCTCTAATGAGAGATTTTGTAAATTTTGCTAAGGAAAAATTGAAAATGAGATACACTTCTTGATTGAATGTCCTCAATATAACAAAATTAGATCTAAATATAAAATCAATGATATTAACTCAAATAATTTGGATGAAAATTTTACCATACTGTTTCATCAGATAATAATCCTTTATAATAATTTGTGCATATACTAGTACACATATACCTTATATAGGTGATTGTGTGTTTTAAGTAGAATTACGAAAATTTAGAATAATCGTGATGTATATGTATCATGATTTTTTATTATTAATTGTTTTGGCTTTTAACTAGCTGTCAGTAACTGCTAGTACTCTCAAATCGTACTTTCTTGTTTATTTGACCCGTTGATACTAATTGTAATGCTTTTTTGTTATTTAATGTTATTCAGGGTTATATCTGGTCTATATACCAGCTTTGATAAGTGTTTGGTATTACTATAAATTTTCACTTCGTACTATGAACATCAAAATTATTTTTTTTGTAAAAATATTTCCTTTCTCTATTGGAACTGTACACGTATATCTAACAACAAAATTATTTTCGTTTACCTGTGTTTAAAGTTATTGCAAATGGCTGATATTTTTGTTCGATCATATTGTTTTTCTTAATTTGTTTAACATTTCATACCGATATAACATGTTACTTTTATTATTCTTCCCTTAGTTTATCTATTTTGTATTTACATTGTATCATAGGTCAAATTTGTTCAGTGTATGTTCACTGGTGTTAATATGTCCTTTGATTGAGTTAAGCTATTTCAGTTGATATTTTATAGTGTGTCTTTCTATGTTGTGATGTTACATTATTGTTTCAGAAAAAGGGTGAAGGTTTGGTACCATTAAAACGTTTAAACCCGCTACATTTGTTTGCACCTGTCCTAAGTCAGGAATCTGATGTTCAGTAGTTGTCGTTTGTTGGTGTGGTTCATAAGTGTTTCTCGTTTCTCGTTTTTATATAGATTAAACCGTTGGTTTTCCCGTTTGAATGGTTTTACACTAGTAATTTTTGGGGCCCTTTATAGCTTACTATTCGGTGTGAGCCAAGGCTCCGTGTTGAAGACCGTACTTTGACCTATAATGGTTTACTTTTTTAAATTTTGACTTTGATGGAGATTTGTCTCATTGGCACTCATACCACATCTTCTTATATCTATATATGGTATTAATATGAGTTTAGAATGTAAT